ATTATATGAAATTATATTTGGAATTCTTGAGAAATATTTCACTCATATATATTGTGTAGCATGTGAAATTCGAAGTGAAATGATTTAATTATTAATTTGTGCCTACATATGTATGTGTGTAGAATTGTGTACCCTGGAGGTTGGGAGAAAATCGATTGAATTATTCTAGAAATTTTGAGAATTTAGCTTTGGAAAGTAAGACATCGGGACTAAAATATTTTTATTTTGCGCCTCTGTGCGGGGTGAGTATATTAATTTAGGTTTGGCTCAAAATTATGCAGAATTATCTGAGATGTATTTGATATATTTCCCCGAATATCGTTGTTACGGAGTGCATATTACGGCTGTGTGTAACAAATATAACAAATGGGATGAACAATATATATGGGAGCTATAGCTATATCTGAACCGATCTTCACCAAATTTGACATACTAGACGTTTGGTGCACAATGAAAGGTAAATCGGACGAAGTTATATATGGGAACTATATCCAAATCTGAACCAATCTCGATAAAATTTAGCAAATGTATTTCTGAGCTGTATTTGCTATATTTCCCCAAATATTGCTGTTACAGCGTGCATATTACGGCTGCGGAGGACAAAAATAACAAATCGGATGAACAATATATATGGGAGCTATAGCTATATCTGAACCGATTTCGATCAAATTTGGCATACATATTTTCAGGCCGAATTTGGGTGTATATGCAAAATTCCATACAATTCGGACGAAGATATATATGGGAGCTATAACTAAATGTTGACCGATTATCTTCAATTTCAATAGGGTTCATTCTTGGGCCAAACAAATGATTTGTGCAAAATTTCATCTGGATAGGACAATAAATGCGAACTGTACTTTGTTTACAAAAATACATGGACAGACGGACGGACATGCATAAATCGACTAAGAATGTGATTCCATGCAGATTATCAAAAGAAACTATGGGTCTATCTCGTTTCCTTTTGCCTGTTACAAACACATGCACAAAGACATAATACCCTGACCTCCTTGTGGTGTAGGGTATAAAAAGTATAATAATACTAATAATAATAATAATAATAATAATAATAATAATAATAATAATAATAATAATAATAATAATAATAATAATAATAATAATAATAATAATAATAATAATAATAATAATAATAATAATACTCTCGATGTAGCTAAAAAATTCTCAAGGATCTGAATAATGAAATCATGATTTAAAATTTGACAAATGGGGTGAGTAGACTTCCAGAGGTCGCATCTCAAGTAGCCGTTTTATTTTTGAACTGATGATAAACTTTGTAAATTTCCAAACATTTGCACAAAAATAATAAATAAGAAAAAAATAAGTATTGAATTATTTGGCCCATAAAACTATGAATTGAGGGTATTAAAAGTTTGTAACACCTCTATATATTGGTCCTAAAAACCTTATGTTACGTATTGTTCTGCTCATCTGAGTAGATCTAAATATGAGTGTGCGTCCGTAGTTCTGTTCATGCTATTCACGAACCCCTCAAATTGGGGTTAGAGTCAGAATAGAGGCCTATCGTTTTCGGAGACATTCGCAAAATTTTTAGGGGTTTAAATTAATAAAAAACATAAAATTTTCCTGATTTTGTAGTCAGGTCACAAGAAAATGAAACTTAACTAGGGACTAGAGCATAGGATAGTATATACAGGGTGAAATGGACAATACTTCAACTGTGAATATTTTTAATGCTGAATGTTACTTCTCTGCGAAATCCTTCAGAGCGATTTTCTTGTCGTCTATATTCAGATATCGGAGATATAGAAAAATGTAGAATTAATCTAGATTTTCAAAAATTGTTTTGAATACCCATTTTACCAGGAGGGCGTAAATGTAGGGCGAATGCACAGCTCTAGTGAAAACCGTAATTCGTTTGTATTGTATGTGACATGTATTTCAAGGATAAAACTGATAACGGACACATTGAATATTTATGAATGAGAAAATTGCTATATTTCCACTGGAAACAACTGCGGTGATTTAGCTACATCAAATACCGATGCTTTACTTTGAATATTTTTTAGAGATCGTTCGGAGTTCGGATATGGACAAAATCGGTCCGCTCTTTCTGGTACCTCCCCCACCAAAGGGTGAAATTTTCAAAAAAAAAAAAAAAACCTTTCACTGCACTGTAAGAGAACCCATAATCCGATTTTGTTCCAACTTTGCAAATCTTAATATTTTCCATCCCACAAAGGGTCAAAATTTTGAATAATTATAATTTGTATAAAATGTGATATAAGAGTGCGATTGTCTTTAAACCACACATATCACAATATTTGTATAACCCAAGATCAGGTGTAAAGATGGAATATACCGCTGCACTCCTTAGGAACAACATTTTGAATATTCATTGAGCTCATCAGACTCTATTCAGACTTGGCACATCTCAATATTTCCATCAGCACAAGATCTGTTATTAAGATGGTAGAGATCAGACCATTCCTTCTGGTACCTCCCCCATAAAGGGTCAAGGTTTTCAATAACCAAAAAAAAAAAAAAAAAAAACAAGTAAGCAAAGGCTACAGTCGAGCGGGGCCGACCGTTGAATAGCCTACATCACTATAATAAATGATACAGTTTATATAGGCGAGATACTCGAAAGAATTCCACAAGATATTGTGACAAATAATAAAAGAAGACCATCAGGTTTCGTTCTCTAATTTTCGAATAATAGCAACTCAAACTAATTTTCTCGTTTCCCATTTATTGGTAGATGTTGCACGTAAATGGTCTTCCTAGATCTGGAACCAATATTTTCCAAGGACCTATAATCTCTCAGAAGTGGCAAAAGATTAACATTTATTATTGGTTTTTGACTAAAACGCATCTATATGAGATACAGACATTTGACTATATTCTTCAACGAAATAGTCAGAAGTGCGTCTTTCCTGTATTTGTGAATTCTCCAAAAAGTCACTGGAATTGATATTTTCGTATTTTGTCTACAAAAGTTGGCAAACTATTTCATACATTGAATATTTTTGGATGGCCATCCAGAACTATTTGGCTTTTGCAATGTTCGGTAACCTCCATTCAAATGCGCGTGAGGATCGAGCAATAATTACGACTTGCTGACAATTTTGCAGTTTTTTTTGTCCATTTCAACCCCTAAATATATGGCGATTATCTCCAAAAAGAGTAGGCTTCTATTCTGACCCTCATCTTATCCCCATGCAAAATTTCATAAGGATCGGACCATAAATGCGATCTGTATATGATATCCTTATATTCTAACTACTTAGTTTTGTTAGCTGTAGAAATATTACCAAATGTTTCATTCAAAATGAAAAAATATGCCAAAAATATGACAAAATTGAAAAAATATGAGAAAATATTACAAAATCAATATTTTCATCTTTAGAGAGATATTTTTGTGCAATTTTTTTAGAAATGTTTTCTTTCCTGCCAAGAGGCCATTTTGAATTAATGAGAACTGTCGAAATCAGTTCAGCCGTTCTCGACATATAAGAGATCTTTCAAGCATATCTTCTTTGATAGACATATATATCGCACATATTTTGCTACATATCCGATTTGATGGATGTTAACATCAATGTAAAGGTCAGAAGTAACCTTGTCATGGCTTTGTGATTTCACCGGGATTTAAAATATTCGCGGTTTAATGAAAAATTTTGAATTTATTCAACACAAGAGATATGGTCTATTTTACCCCCTAAATATTATCCGATGACCACCCAAATTGGTAGGCTTTTTCCCCGCCCTAAACTCTAGCTACATGCGAAGTTCCGCGTTGATTGGTCTATAATTGCGACCTATATAGCTACTGCAAAATCCGACATTTTTTCAGTATTTGGTCCATTTCAACCCCTAAACATTTGACGATCATCACCAAAATAAATAGGCTTCTATTCTGACCCTAACCCCACCTTCGTGCAAAATTTCGTTATGATCGGGCCATAATTGCGACCTGTAGCGTGATTACAAATTAACATGGACAGACGGACGGACGGACATACATAGCTAGATCGACTCAGCTCGGCGAGCTAGGAAGATCCATATATACTTTCCTATATGGGAAACCAATATTTCGACGTGTTACATAAATTCTGGCCCAATCATACTTATAATACCCCCAACACATAGTGTTGTAGGGTATAAAAGTATTCACTTCTTTATGGCCATATTTCTACACGATTTTCTTAGATTTTATATTTTTCTGGCAAGATACCATTCCGATGATAATTGTGAAAATCAGTCTAGCGGTTCTTGACTTATGAGCAAAATAATTAAGAGATATATCTTTTACATATATATTGTACATATTTTGCTTTAAGTCCCATATCACGGTAAGGGTCTGAACTGAATTAAAAATATTCGCAGGGTAGAAAAAATTTTCGTATTTTTTTACACAAAACTTATGGTTTATTTTACCCGCTAAATAATGTCCGATCCGTCCGTACGAATTTGTAGGCTTCTGCACAGCCCTAAACTCTAACTCCATGCAAAATTTCGTCGGTTGGCTTCTAGTTGTGGCCGGTAGAGCAACACTTTAATCAGGAAAACAATAGGCTTCTATTCTAACTCTATGTGGCGTGATTAGAAATTAAAATGGATAGACGGGCATACAAAGCTAGATAGACTCAGCTCGGCTATATATGAAGATGCAAACATCGTTTCCTTTGTCGGTGACCAATATTTGGAGGTGTTACATAATTTTTGGCCCAATCAAACTTAAAATACCCCCAACACATAGTGTTGTATTGCATAAAAATAGAGATTTTTATTGAAAGTAAAATCGTTATTTTTTACAACTACAATAAAGTGTATTTATTTTCACGAAATAATTTTTTCTTAAATTTCCTTCAGTTTTTGAAATATAATTTATTCATATTTCGTTCACAATTCCCACAAATTCCACAGTATTTGCATTGTTATTATAACCTTTATACAATGTTTTTCAACATCTTCTCCCACTCTCTCTTCCTCTCTCCATCTCCCTCTCATTACAGGTGAATACTCAGCATCGGCCATTATGTCAGCAGCACGAACTTATGCTCTTAATGATGCGTATCTGTTGATTTTACTGTTATTGATGTTATTACACAATACGTGATTGTTGAGCGAAAACACGAATTAAGTGCAACAATTAATTTAAATTTATAGACTACACAGAAGAAGGTGTGGGCGGGGTGAATTGGGGTAGTGGAATTGGCCCGGGGGCGGGGAGGGGACAACAAAATAACCATGTAATGCACATCCTTACAACCATCGATTGATCCATCCATCCATCCATGCATACACGAGTCTAACGACAGCAACAACTACAACTGTAATGTGCTGTGAATGTGTGTGTATGTGCGTGTGTTTATTGTCTGCGGTTGTGGTAAACAAATTAAGATGAAGGACAACAAATAACAGATTAATTGTAATCGAAATCCCAGACACGTTTAGGATAACAACAACAACATCAACAACAAAAATCAACATTATAAGCAGTAGCCAAGGTATCTTGTCTTATCTTCATCAACATTTATATTTGTAAATAAAAACTAAACGAGCAAAAAACCAAAAATTTATTTCAAGTAAAAGTAACAAAAAATAATAATATTAATATTAAACATTAGTTGTCTGACTGCAGCTCTCATACATACAAATACATAGTTAATATTATTGTAAAATTAACTTTAAATTTATATATGCATAGAGACAAAAAACAATGAAAGCAACAACAAAACTAAAACAAATAAACATCTACAGACATGAGGATAAACTTAAAGTTGTGAACTATCAATAAATGTTGATCAGAATTCTGATGATTTTCATTAAAAAAATAATAATTACAATAATAAATAATACAAACAAAAACAAACATGAAATTAAGACTAAAGGACGATGATGAAGAAGGTGGCACATGTTAACAAAACTCAAAATGGTTAGCATCAATTCTGTACTATATAAATATGTGTAGGTGGTATATTTAGCATTTAAAGAGAACAAAAATCGACAGGAAATGTTTGCAATTATTTTCATTTATTTTCTAAAATATTTAATATCAAGTTTTAAAAATATATTTGAAAGAAATATGAAACTGTAATTTCAACTGAAAATCATAACAATTAGCGACTTAAACCACGACGGCGAAACAAAAGAATGGACTTCAGTAGTATTAAATAGACTCCTAAATTAGAAATTTGATCTGAGTTACCAGTGAGCTAAAAAGTAATGAATTATAATTGTTATAAAATGTACAAGGCAAAGTAGCTCACTTTTATCATACATTGTAATGGGTAACGGCGCAAAGAGTGGTTAGAAGCGGCAGCTAAACTTAAACTCGCTGGTTACAATCTTCGCACCAGCAATGTGGTGCGGTTAAATATGAATTCATCTATGGTGTTCATATTAAAGTATGGGGCTAGAATGCTGTTTGGTAAGTAGTTACTGGTGCCAAACCTAAAGTCATTACTTGGTAATGCATTTATTTTTCTGGAAATCGCTTCGAAATAATCAAAAGTAGATATGTGGCGAATCATCATCAACTTCAATGAAAATACAATTTTCTATAAAGATAGCTCAGATGAGCTGAAGTCACCGAGACACGTTAGATTTACTGACGTTTTTACTCTCTTTCCTTTTTGGGACTGATTCTTTAAAAGCGTTTTCATTGGGGTAGTTTCAAAAAGTTTTGCTTGCTATCGATTCTTAAGACATGCGGTCAGCTCCAGAGGGTTCCTTACTGATTGATTGCAAAGACGCCTAGAAGTTACAAACACTTCGAGGGATTGTTGCAGCAGGGGTGTCCATTTAGATGGATCTAAGAGAGAAATATAGTCCATGGCCGGAGTTCTTATATCTTGTCTTAAAGGTGACAAGGCTATGTTCACAGATAATTTTTATACTCTCAGTTTCACAGCTACAGAGGAGATATAGCATTTGGTACAACCAAAACGTGTCTAATCGAAATAACGGTTTAAGATACTACGTATTGTACGACATGTCCATCTATATCTCTGTTAACACCATAACTAACGAAAAGTGTATCGAGTTTCGTCCAAATTTGGTATATTACAACATTTTTACTAAACTTAGATCGAGTTCGAAGATGGGCAATATTGATTCACGTCTTCCTGTACTTTCGCCACAAAAGTCTTAAAATTTGAGAAAAAATACAAATATCTCAAAAAACATAAATCAGGATCGGAAATGCATAATATTTGTCCCCAGACTCCTGTACCTTTCTGGCAATGGGTCAAAATTGTTGTATCATAAACAGACCTCCGAAGAACTCGCTCGCTTTTGCTCACTCTAATCCGAGCGAGTGCTCTCCTGGGAGCAGAAAAAATAAATTAAGAAAACTCATTTTTGCGATGTTACTCGAATAGGAGTGAGCACGTTTTTGAGTGCGAGCAAAATTAGAGCAGGACTTTTGGACACTTTCCTATAATGGCCAACGTTTTCCCTTGAAGAATCTAAAAAGTTCAAGAGGAATACCAACAGACCTCCTCATGGAAGACCAGGTGTTCTTTTTAGTAGCCATTTTTATCTTAGAAGAAAATCAGATGGTTTTCTCATACAAGGGCAGCAAGTCTTTCCTGAGGATACTCATAGTTCTACCATAGATGAACACTAGTTCGTTAAATAGTATGCAAAGATATATAATTAAAGAAGAGCAACAGTTGTTGCCTTAGAAAATCTATCGTTCTTCTTATATGAGTTGTGAAAGTCCCTTCATACAACGCCCACGAGTCGTCTCTTACATGGCTCTTCTTAGAAGACCAAAGGTTCTTTTCAAGAAAACCTTTGAGTTTTGAGAGAAGATGAACAACTCCCTCGGAGCACGTCAACGGGTTTTTCATAAGAGGACAATAACTGTTCTCAAAGAAGACCATCAGACCTTCACCTAAAAGACCAAAATATATCGTCATTATAGGACAGAATTTCTCATAAAAAATCATTTAAAAAGCCGTAAGTTCGGCCGGGCCCGTTTGAAAGGAATTTGCCAAATCTCAAAAGCATATTCGGGTGTTACGACGATATGGACCTACATAGGTAACTTTTGTCATAAGCCATTACAATATTCAAATGCAAAACTTAAAAATCGGTTAATGATGTAGCTAAAATCATCAAAAGCTATACCAAAACGTGGACCTGCACAGACAATTTTCTGTCTTAGGCTGTAGTATACATTACGAACTTCAAATACAAAATTTGAATCAATTTCAGTGAATAATGTCGCTAAAATAATCAAAATACCGAATATCGGGAGGTACCGTTAAATGGGGGCTATACGAAGACGAGGACCTGCACAGACAATCTCCTATCTGTAGCATCCATTACGAACATCCAACTATGTTGGTGGGTATAAAAACAGGCTTATTATATAAAAGAGTTTTTCTCGTAGAAGGCCGAAAGGAGTTTTTATTAAATGCAAAAATTTGTTGTCATAAAAGGTGGGCAGGTTACATTATTGGAAAAGAATATGTTTCTAATAGAAGGCCAACTGTTATTCCATTAGAACAACAAAAGCCCATCTCAAGGAGGTTACTAACACAGTAGGCCGCAAGGTTTTCCAATAGGCCCTCTCATGTAAAGTAGAAGTTCTGCTCATAGAATATCTATAGCTCCTTTCAACAATTTTCTCTCCTTCCTTCCTTTAGAAGGCCGATAAATTGCAGCTTTTTCTTGTTTGTTCTTACTCCAAAACAATTAAAAATTCCAACCACTAAATAGTTTTTCCTTCCAACTTAAATGATATAATTGCAAAAACCCGTCAAAATTAATCAAAAGTAAACCTAAAATATTTAAATTAAAATAAATAAAATTCTAATCTCAAAAAAAAAAAAAAAAAAAAAAAAAAAACAAAACATTTAGCGTAAAGGAATTTTATACAAAAAGTCCACAAAAAAAAAACAATTTCATAGTTAATTAAATAAAAACGGAAATGAAAACAGAAATTGTTCATGTCAAGGAAAATATTTTGTTATTTTTCAATTTAATGAAAATTGAAAAATACTATTTATGTTGTGGTTGGCTTTGATTATTCTATGCCTGGCATAGGACGATTTGCCAAAAGCCAACAGACATACACACAACAATGCATTTTAAATAGCCAATCAAACATACAAACAAACCAACATATTGTAATATATATTCTCAGACAAATATAATTCTTCATTTACACACTCTCTCCAATACAGAAATCCTAGTCCAATCTCCTTCCACTCTTCTAACTCTCTCGCTCTCACTCTCTCTTAAAACATAATCAATTAAAGTACAGCAAATAAACCAAGAACATTTATATTGAACTAAGAATACTAAATATATTTCCTTCTATCAAAAAGTTTAATGTAATAAATTTTGAAAACCACAATAAAAATCGAAAATCTACTATTAAAAATTAAATTTAAAAATCTAGACCATAAGTAACTTTGTGTAAATAATTTCATACGTAATGTAATCTATAAAGGAAAACAAAAAAACAGAAAAAAATCCAATGTTAACATTTTACTTTTAAGTAAACCGAAATATGAAATGAATGTAATTCTCTTTCTCATAAAAATAAAATAAAACCAAAAAAAGTAAATAAAGAAAAAACAACAAAATGAAAAATAAATTCAAAAGAAATATAAAATATGGAAATAAAAACAATGTTGGATGTTCGTTTTATTTTCTGCTTCCTGTGGTTGGGTCTGTGACGGTAAGTTGGGGGATTTTAATTCCAGCCGCAATAAAAAAACATGGTTTATAATCCCTGTTTTCAAACCTATGAAAATGTGATTTTTTATGAAGTTATTAAAAATGTAATTGTAGGGGATTAAGTGTAGAAATTAAATAAAAATGAATGAATTTCTTTCTTTATACCCTACAACACTATGTGTTGGGGGTATTATAAGTTTGATTGGGCCAGAATTTATGTAACACCTCGAAATATTGGTTTCCCACATAGGAAAGTATATATGGATCTTCCTAGCTCGCCGAGCTGAGTCGATCTAGCTATGTATGTCCGTCCGTCCGTCCGTCCGTCTGTCCGTCTGTCCATGTTAATTTGTAATCACGCTACAGGTCGCAATTATGGCCCGATCCTCACGAAATTGAAAATGGAGGTGGGGTTAAGGTCAGAATAGAACCCTATTTCTTTTGGAGATGATCGCCAAATGTTTAGGGGTTGAAATGGA